GACCGGAATGAATATGGAAAGGGTGCAAACTTCGCTGGGAGAAGGGAAGTCCTTGTTTGGTTTAACAATTGTGGTTGTGCTTTGCTTTTGTGTTCGTGTGTGTGCGTGTGTGTGTGTTGGGGGTGCGTGTGTGTGTGCGTGTGTGTGTGTGGGTGGGTGGTGTGGGTGTGTTTTCGATCTGTCTTTTTTTTATTTTCTTTCTTTCCGGGTGATAGGTCTCTTTTTCACTGGAAGAAATTTTGAAAAATAAATGTTAGAATCTTGGTATTTATCATTGCAAGAAAAAAAACTAAAAAGAATGTCTCCCAATAAGTTGATTTTTTTTTTCAAAGCCTACTTTCACTAGTTTTTGCAATTCCAATCGCTTGTTCCTAAGAAGAGAAAAAAAGATGTGTTTTGTATGTTTCCCATAAAATACGACAATGATTATAAAGAATGGGCTTGTTTTCGGCAAAATGTGTTAATTGACATGTAAGCGGCAATGACAATTGTGATAATGATATCAACAATAATGATAATGATAGTCGTGATGATGATAGTAATAATAATAATAATAATAATAATAATAATAATAATAATAATAATAATATATAATAATAATTATAATAATATAATAATAATAATGAATAATAACGACGAAGATGAAGAAAAAAAATGAAGAATGATGGAAGTAATAATGATAATAATATTGATATTGCTAATATCATTAATAATGATAAAAATGATAATAACAATAGTAGCAACAATAAACATAGAAATAACAATTTCATTTATAGTAATAAAGATAATAAAAGTAATGATCCTGATAGAAACTATAATAACAACGATAACAAGGTTACCTAAAACATCTTTAATATACAAATCAACAACGTCCTGTGCCCGCAAAAAATTAATTTAAAATAATAATAATAATAATAAGTAATATAATAATCGTAATAATGATAATAATGGTAATAATAATAATAATAATAATAATAGATAATAATAATAATGAATAATAATGATAATAATAATGATAATATAATAATAATAATAAATAACAATAAATAATAAAATAATAATAATAATAAATAATAATAATAATAATAATGAATAATAATATAATAATATAATATAAATAATAATAAAAGATAAATAAATAAATAAACAAATAAAAATAAAAAGATAAATTAATGAAAAAGACACTGACAAGGGATGAAGTTTACTACTATCTAAATAGAGATCACAGCCGGACATATCGCGTGCCAGGCTGCAAGGAAATCGTGCCATATTTCGATTTAATATTGATAAGACTGCATTGAATACAGGAGCTTGCGCGCACGCATGCTAATATCCGCATGCAGAGGGTGATCATGTTCAATTTCTCTCTCTCTTTTTTTTCTCTCTCTCATTATTTTTCTGTTTCGTTCTACAGAACAGGAATCATAAGCTGAACACAATAGAGAAATTATTTCTTTGTTTCTCTCTTTTATCTCTCTCTCTCATTTCTCTCTCTCTTTTTCTCTCTTCTTCCTGTTTTTGATTATCTCTCTCTCTATATATATACATTATTTTCTTTTTTATCTATCCCCCCTCTCTTGCTCTTTCTCCTCTTCTTCTCGTCTCTTTTGTCTCTTCTCTCTTCCTCTCTCTCTTTCTCGTCTCTCTGGTTCTCAGTCTCTCTCTCTCTCTCTCTCGTCTTTTCTCTCTCTCTCTTCTTCTTTCTCCTCTCTCTCCTCTTCTCTCTTTCTCTCTCTCTCTCTCCTCCTCTCTCTCTTCTTTCTCTCTCTCTTTTCTCTCTCTCTTTCTCTCTTCTTTTCTCTCTCTCTCTCTCTCTCTCTCTCTCTCTCTCTCTTTCTCTCTCTATCTCTTCCTCTCTTCTCTCTTCTTTCTCTCTCTCTCTCTCTCCTTCTTTTTCCTTCTCTTTCTCTCTCTCTCTCTCCTCTCTCTCTCTTCTCTCTCTCTCAACCTCCTCTCTCTTCTCTCTCTCTTTCTCTTTTCTCTCTCTCTCTCTCCTCTTCTCCTCCCTCTTCTCTCTCCCTCTCCTCTACTCTCCTC